CCCCGGGTGGCGGCGCGTGGAAACACCGCGGTGAGCTCCAGATGCATTTCTCTGCTCTTCTCAACACGGGGGCCCTTGTGAAACCAACAGCTCGCCTAGAAGTCTGGCCCCTCCCCTCTTCTCTCCCGACATCGAGGGCCACACAGCCGACATGGCAGAGACTTCCTTGCGTGGGGGCATCCTTTTTTGGGAGCGCTTTCGCTGACATTTTAAAACTGGAGTGACATTTCAGTTAATCATGATGCCGACACTTTAGGTTCACTGCAATAAATCAAACTAACTCCCCTGTTAAACGTTTGGCAATATCGATTGGAAATGGATCCTGGTGCCTTAAGCCCAGTTATTCTAATCTCAGCCAAAGTCATCAATAGCCCACATTCTGGTAAATATCAGTGCAAAACTCACACTCACAACATGATGCTTTCTGCAATTATAACATTTATATGGGTAATTGTGTGTCCCTGTGACGCGCATATAATTGAAAATTGACTGAGTCCCATGGTTGACCCGTGACACAAAGGGAACAGTCGAGAACGTACACTGGGTGATACAGAGATTAATCCCGTTATCTCGATGGTCCAGCCGCTTCAGATAAAGGACAGCGAGCCGCATTCCTCCACGAGGAAGGCCCTGGTTTAAGCTCCTGGTTCCCGTCGAAGAAAGTGCCCATTGCGTAAAGAGGCTGTGTGTCTTGTGGACGTCGCTGCTTTCAGTCCTCCCAGGAAGCGCGTCGCCTTCTACATGCTAACAAGCGTTCACACACTCTCCGCTGTGCCCGCAGGCATGCCACACTGCGCAGTTAGTTGTGACTGGTTTGGTTCATGACACTTCTAGCACTGGGGGGGGGGGGGGGGCACTCAAGGACAAAATGAAAAATTAATTATTAATTAAACTCTTCACACAAAAAGTGCCAACTATTTACTGACTGGGAACTGTTAATACTATTAATATCAACTGACAGGATTTGGGTTTCCTCAAACTGCACAGTCAGCACCCAAAGGTGGGTTTGATGGCATCTGAATAGACAAGCATCCGTTTTGTCCATAGGAAAGAAATGAGGGGAGAGCAAACAACCTTGGAGATGGAGGCTGTGCAGAGGCCAAGCACGAACTGAGGATGTGTGTCTCAGCATGGACTTGGAGCGGAAGGACGCGGGGTTCCTCAGTGCCGTGCTGACCTTCATCCACAGCAGAGTTTCCCAATCCGTTCCTGGGGAACCACGGTCGGTCCATCTTTTTCCTCCCTCCGAGCTCCCTACTAGATAGTCCACTACTACTGGGAGCTGGGAGGTAGCAAAAACGTGGACTGTCTGTGGGTCCCCGAGTACCTGATTGGGAAATACTGATCTATAGGGCTACACACAGCGAATACCACAACAGGCCTCAAAACGCAGGCGGGACTGAGCAACACGAAAAAAGCCTTTTCTAAAGGCATGTCCGTTCCCCTCAGAGGCATAACCCCTGTATATTTCCACATTACCTGTTCGCTACGCTTGATAAGATATATTTCTCCTTGAAGAAACTGCTAACATGTAGAAAGCACATTTAAAAAATAGCCCTTTTTGTCATTTTTAAAATAAAGGACAATAGAGGAGAAGGTGTTCTTTTCCTAATAAAAATTAAGTTTAAATAATGCACACTTTGCTTACTGTATAGAACCACTTCAAAAATCACCAAAAATGTCATGAACAGTTCATAGAGTGCAGAATTATTTGGGGTTTATTATAGCAGTTATCACAATTTTGATTTTTTGAATTTATGCACAGTTATATATCATCAAAATACATCAAGGCAATACATAGAAGAAAAAGGATGTGCATGTCATATTGTATTTGTACTGAGAAATAGATGCAAAACAACCAATTCTGTTCAATCCAGAAATGATTAGATTATATATATATATATATATATATATATATATATATATATATATATATATATAATATAGTATATATACTGTATATAATAAATATCCCGTTAGCAAATCCTCTGAAACAATTCTGACAACCTTCACAAAAATAGATAAATCTATAGACTGATCTAACTGCAATCTACTGAATGCATAATTAAAATCTCAAATCATTTGGATGTATCCAAATGATTTGAATCCTACAAATGTGGGGGAAAGCAGCCTCTCATCTTTCTGTTCTCTAAGATTTGGTATCCTTCCATAAGTCTGACGCATGTCTGCCTGACTGACATCGCATAATTGTTATACCCCTTCAGCACTGGTCTTCCAGCTTTGCGACCTTCTAAATGGGATGCACTCCGTTATTGAAATGAGCTGCCTTCCCACCCATGATCCAGTGAGAAGAAAACGACTTCTCCTATTACGAATATTAACCATAATCATTATGGACGTTTCAGTTCCTGGCATTCTTCAGCACTTCCCTTTGTTTTGATACGCCCATATTTACATCTAAATTCTAGGCGACTTCGACCTTTCCGGAGCTTTATCTTCAGAAATGCGAGGAAATCGATAAAACTGGACATGGATGAGGATGACTGGCGATGCGGCCTGGCAGGGGGACGGAGGTCTGCTCCAACAGCGCTCAGCTTGACTTAAGGACCTTCTTTACAGTGGCTGTGGGTGCCATACACACAATTGGGTAATTATTCCTGGGCATGACTCGTTCTGGAAGGCTGGCTGATGCTTCCCTGTTCTGTATACCTCGCTGCGTAAAGGCCTTTACCTAGTGAGCTTTGCTTACAAGACGCGTTTCATTAATTTTAAGATTCAGAGGTCTGTTAGCATCGGGGTCGCTCCACAGCTGGCTGCCAGGATGAAGGTACAACTCGCAGTAAGTTTTTTTTGCGGCAGTATGATAAATAGGAGCCAATCGAATGGGACAGCCTGATACAGATGCACGCAGGACACAGATGCGCACAGGCCTAGTGTGCCGACACAGCACATGTTGATGTGCACACAGACTCGCAATGGATGTGAGCATGGTGGTGCATTTATGTGGATCAGGAAGAGACATCAGGCCCCAAAACGTGGCTCACGCATAGAGGAACTGAAATGACGGGTTGTGAGAGAGTGAAAGGGGTAACTGGGGACAAACTGAGCATTTACCTGGGATTCTAGATGTCAGAACTGGCATGTGTCTGAGAGTCAGAAACGTGATGACTAGTCATAGCCCCCTGGACTGAATTTAAATCAGGAAGGGACCACCAGAGCAGAGAAAAACACACGTCTATCACCCCCATCTCCTGTCTTTGTTTCCCTCCTTCCAGGAAACAGCAGGCTTTAAATAGTCCTTGTTAATTAGCCTCACCCGAGTGTGATTGTGGCTAATGAGATGCCACTCGGGCGCGACTCCCGTGAGGGCCACCCTGACTCTGCCCGTCGCCCAGTCCGGTGCCGGCTTGGCCCGCAACTCGTGGCCACAGCTGTGTCCTGGGGTGAGCTCACCTCATCGCCTGGGGGGCATGTTCTGTCTGTAGATCCCCCCCTCCCGCCGCAGCCTTTGTAATCCACCAAGACGTCCCTGCCACGTTGGCTGATTGACTTACCGGAGGAGTCCGGTCCGCTGTCAGATCCTATTACAGCTAATTTGATTGTCATGCTTTTCGACAGTGCCAGACTTGTTTCGAGGCAAACAGCCTGAGTCAACACCAATCACCTTCCCGAGTCAGGAGGCCTGTGTGTTTATGGAGATTCCGACGACAATTAAAACGGCGAAATTGAGGGCACTGCCTGTTGTTTTTCTCCCTTCATTATCTGCTTTCGTTCTGCCTCCGTCCTGCCTTTCCCCGAAGCGCTCCAATTGCACTAGAAACCCAAAATGAGACACTTGGAACGCACAGGCCCTGTCGGGTCTGCCCCCCGGACAGGAATGTGATGCTGAGGCACATGCTTGGATGTTTGCATGGCTTTTAGACGGGAGCAAATGCTGCTGTGCGAGAGCAGAATGAGAAATGCGCCAAGCACGAGTCATTTCAATAGAGACCAAAATGTCCAGAAAAACAACACCAAAGACGGGAATTTGGAGTCGTTATAAGTACAAGAAATTCCATCTGGTCTTCCATATTGTTTCTGCTGTTGTATTAAACGTAGTAAACATGTATTTAATACCTCAGTATTCAATAACTTCTGCTGTGGTGCAGAAAATACCAGATACTGTTAATAGAGACTGAACAACCTACCAGCAGGAGCCCAGTCTTTAATGTATGCTGGTTTTATCATGAATTAATGAGTAACCGAACACCGTTTGGTAGTTAGTAATTTGCCCAGCATCAGCCGGCAGTAATCCCAGTTACGGACATTAAAGCATGCAGGTCACGCCGGTGGTCAGAGGGCACGGCCATGTGCCTTCTAGCCCTGCTCCCCTTGGAGACTCCGTCACTCTGCCCCACAGCTCCCAGCTCTCTCACCGCAGCTCTCACCCAGTTCACACACTCGCCATACGCTCCTCCCACCTTTTGACGTCTGGTCGGTCCCCGCAATACGTCGTGCCTTGTGTACCCCGATCAAACAGAGCTGCCCGGCCCTCTGGCGCCTGGTGAAGCCACTCTGAGGTAAACAGGGGACGCCGTGCTCACAGATGCCATTAAACGTGCCACTGAATGTGAACCAAGGAAAGCCCTATGTTTAGGGTGAGAATTTTCTTAGGGCAAAGCCGCTGAACAGAACCGCATGACATGAGGATGGGAAGAAGGAGTTAGGTGTTTTGGAAAAACACTGAAAACAGAATACAGCCATTTTGGTGTCAGGACACTGAAGAAACACAAAAAAACAAAAGGAGTCGTGGAGACGGCTGGGGCATCGCTGGCTGGCTGAACACCAGCTCCTTAGATGAGAGATAGCAGAGCTCAGTCTTATATATGGAAATAAGGCACATGTTAAATAATACTAACTCTGCAATATGACAGCGATATCACAATCAGGACATTTCAAGCAAGAGGTGTGAGTTTGACAACAAAGGTACTGTTAATGCTCTTTTTATAGAATATTATATAAAGTATTGTATACTTTATATATATAACTCCCAGACATACCTATTTCTCCCGTAAAGCTGCTGGTATTTGCTGTTCCTTTGAACCACCTCATGCATACGCCTCACACCTGCCACCTGCAATGTTTCACAGGTTGCAGATTCAGTTTCACATTTTCAAAGCAGCCCCTATATCTTTTACATACCAAAAAAGTAAAAAAAAATAACTATCCAGTTTAGGTCATTTATAAATAAAAGGGTACTGATTACATTTTGTTAATTAACATAGGCATGTGACTAAAATTAAATGCTTATGAGCAATATAGATAGATAGATAACCTGTTGTGGGAAAAAAAATGTAAAAAAAACCCCACTATCCTGTTGCAGAATATGCCTTAAATAACGGCAATGAAAATGTTCACAGAACAAACACATTTTTCCAGGGAGTGAAAGGAACAGATGGCAACTCAGGGTAACACCATCTCATTAGGAGGTCTTGAATCCACATTTAGAAAAGGGGGAAAAATTAACTCAGAATATTGGCAGGGATGAGCTGACCTTCTGTTTGCTGTTCTGGACTGAGTGCATGGCTAACAAACTTAAAAATGGACAGGAGATTATGTCTTTAAGTAGGCTAAATTCTGACCCCATTCTACATACACAGACGCCTTAAATAGAGACTCTGTAGCGCGTTTTTCATGCATATTGCACTTTGATTGTTAATACTTACAGCCTCAAACTGCTGGTTGTACACAGAAAAGCTTAGATATTTCTCTGCTACGCATTCACACAGACAAGCAATCTTTTGTCTGTATAATTTGCCTCCTATTTAGCAGAGGGACATCATATCGCCTTGTAGCTGGAGTGAATAGTGATTCATCTCTGCACGCTGAAACTGTTGACTCAGGTAATTCCCACTCGGAGGAAACTGGAACTCAAGAGGATGCTAATGAAAAAAATCTCTTCATGATTTGGGCATTTCATTAAAGATAAGACAAAAAGGCAACACTGCACTCTTTCTTCTTTGCTTTTATAATACATTATGGTCAATATACTGTAACAACTCTCACGAGGGCGACCTTTCTGCTTCCAAATACTGTATATCTCCAGGACAGCTCGGCATCCACTGCACCCTAGGACAGATTCCTCCCCATTGATACTTAATGCCTGAAGAATTTCAACAATAATAATTTATGATATAGGCCTATACAAATTTGACACACTAACATTTATGCCGCATCAAACTCATCACAGAACAGCACGGACTATTAGTTTGTGTTGTTGTTGTCACTGAGGATAAAAATAGATCATCAATTAGTCAGTCTTTCCTTTTATGGTTTTTTTATCCTCTGATTTAAAGGAAAAAAAAAGTTCAACATTCAACAACAGATAAACAGAGTCATGAGTACTAAAAAAATTGGGCATAAACATCAAACACTGGAGTTAAGAGGAAGTTACACCACGTAAATGCAGTGTTCCAACTGCTTTCGGTCAAACCACATATACATTCACTGAAAAACCATTTACATCTTCTGTCCCATGTCCCATTACAGAGTGATACATTTGATGTATTAATACTTAACAAATTAATTTCAAAGGGTAAAATTTAGTTCCGCTAACATTTTCTGAGGGAAAATGAAACACACCTGTATCAGTATTGTATAAGTATGGAGAGCCATAAGTTTGATTATATTCTCTATCACTAATTAGACCTTTTTCCCAGCTTTGCAGTTTTCCAATTAGCTTATCAGGTGATATTTATGGGCCATCTAGCTTCAAGGAAGTATCAGGGCCAAGTGCACATAGTCAGAGCAGAGCTAAACATCGTGCAGCTTAACGCGATTGAGCCCAGAAACATTGTCCTTACGTTACATTTTTGGTGCAATGCAGTGTGCGGACTTCCTTCCTGTTTTCCTGAGTCTCCAAATTACACAAGATCTATTTTCCTCCCTGCACATCTAGCATAGTTATTGCCATCCATTATCTCTTAGACATACATCTACAGTTTTCCCTTGGAGACTATTTAGAACAGATCGATGGAGCAACGGTTGACAATAGATGTAACGGTTGACCCTTGACCTTAGGACTGAGGCTAATAAAATAGCATTTCAAGGAGAAGAGCCAGCAGGATGTATCCATACGCCTGGAGAAAAGATGCCATTCACAACAGGTGCTTGCTCCGCCTGTTTACTGAAGATCAAACTCCCAGCACAGACAGCAGCGGCTATCATCACAACTAGCATCAACATCTCGACTTGAAAGCATCAGAGGGGAAAAAAAAAATGTGAAAATGTATTCAGCCTTTCTTCCTTTCTGCTCAGCGTGAGGGAGAAAAGAAACTTGGCGCTGTCAGGTTTTTTTTTTTTTCCTCAAATTGATCAAGACATCTCAGCTTCCCTTTCCCTAACGTGTGAAGACAGCTCCGTGCCACAACAGGTGACTGGACAGAAACACGCCAGAGGAAAGAGGACTGCCCCTCAGAGCCTGACATGTTCCAGCCCTCACTGCGTTTGCTAAGCCACTGACATCCCTGCTCCACCTGAGAAGGTCCCTCTGAGTCATAAGCCGCGAGGGTCTGCCAATAAGCATCAAATCTGTTACCCAAGCAGAATAACCACATAGCTTTTTATACAGTAATGTGCCCATTGATTTGCCATGCTTTCGTCCGTGGGTTTAGCTGCAAAAGACCAACCTATAGGCCACAGGGCCCTGTTTTCAGCATCACAAAGCAGCTCCTAAGGGTGGCAGGACTGCCTGTGGTCATGAGCTGATCTGTCGTCTTATCTAGTCTTCTTTCCATTACCGCACTGGCTAAAGTGCTCGTCTGAAAGGGGAAAACAACCCAGAGCTTTCATTAGACTAGCGGGGTTATGACTGTTCCCGGCTGGCTCAGGATCATATCTATCCATCTCTTTTTGGTACATTCCTCTCATCAGCTCCCGCCACTGCTGCCTTCCGTCTCTCCTGCACGCAGTGTCAGCAGATGGGCGGCCATTAGTCGGCCCGGTCTGCAGCCGGGGGCTTCGGATTGGCCGTCAGCATCCTGTCGCTGCCGTGTTTCTCGCGCGGATCTGGGGGAGTAGTCGTGCCTGGTGTGGTGGCTGTTTACCATGCAGCCATGCCGTGGCCCATTTCGGGATTTTATTTATATGACTTCTTTTAATTTTTTTTCTAAACTGTTCGCTGAAACTTTGGGAGCTGGGTGGGGGGGGTAGGGCGCTGTGCGATTCAAACATAAATAGATCCGAGTGGTGGGATGGAAATAAAAAAAAAAAACACAGATGAAAGGAAGCCTGTGACGGCTGCTGGGAGCGGTAAACAAACTAAAATAGAGTGGTCTCCATCCGGGGAGGAAGAGGCCAGTGCTTAAGGATCACAGAGCACCTCTAGGGACGCCGAGCAGACAGCATCTCCCAACCCCCCACGTCCCCTGTCAGCTGGCCGTAACGTAAATGCTGTGAAAAGGCCAGCTTCAGTTACACAGTTCGATGTGGAAATGCTATTCATTTTGTATACAATCATTGCTGGCACAACAGGAAGTGCAGTTTACTGGCAGATAAACACGCACAGAAATGACAAACCACCTGTATGAAACACTGACACAGAAGCGCAAGAACAGCACGCAAACGGAGCAAGAAAACAAAAACATTTCCCGTGAAACGGACTGGCTTTGCGCCGAGGGCGTTAATGGCGAAACCTCTGGGTTCTTAGTGAAGAGCCGCTTTTGGCACATGGTACCTATTCAGAGTCAGTGCTTCCATCAAGAAAGGTTCATGATGCACTGGGAGGACTGGGAGAGATGGGGTGGATGGATGCTTCTGCCCACACACAGCCCGTACAGAGTCCTTCTAATCTGACGCCATTCCAAAAATGCTCCACTTGGTGTCCCAGTGGCCACGTTGTTCCGCAGTTTTCATCCACTCATGTCCCACAGCTGAAACCTCCATCCATCGATGGATAATGGTGACTGACGTGAAATCGTGTTGGATACAGGGGGATATTTCGCTCCCTCACTCCCTCTCCTGTTCACGCTCATTTATTAAGGCTGAACCCAGAAAGGAGCGATGCAGGGGGATCATTAAAACCAAAGAAATTCATAGATCACTGCCATTCCTGCCTGCACACTATGCTTTTGTAAATAGAAATACACGCATGTGTATCTTAAATTTTCACATTATTAAACCCTAGCAATAAAGTGACTCATTAGCTTGCACTCCAAGAAGGGTGTAAAGCCAAGTTTGATGATCACTCCTAAAAGTGAAAGAGGAATTTCATGTCAGAGTTTAATAAAAGTATAGGCTGTCATAAGCAGCTCTTACCAGCCTACAACTCTGCCATTGTCATATCTCAATATCATGGATTTTAGTTGTGTGTTATACAGCATCACTGACTCCCATATGTTCTCAGTAGATATTCTGGGTCTCAAACATACTTGCTCCAAATGCAGCTGAGATCAATTTTTCACAAATACAGGAAGAAGATGCTGAAAATAGAAACATCTTGAAATATGGGGCAGGTGTTAGATAATGAAAATGATTAAATATTGATAGTTATGTAATTATGATCTCACCGGCAGTGAGGATGCTCTCTTTCTCAAAATAGAAGAATAAAAATGCTTATATATAAATGTTTTCGGTCTCTGGCTTTTTCCCCAAAAAAATTGACAGTTCACTGTGCTTGAAGTGGATATGAAGGTTTTTGATATCCTTTACCAATCCACTCAGAAAGTGCAATAATCCAATTTCTATTGTTTGTAGACTCAAAAACAGCACTGGCTGTTCCTTCAATAGCATCGGTCAGGCCGCTGACCAGGGGCGACACTGAGCAGACACCACCAGGACGCCTTTATTAATCTTGACCAGTGGTAATAAAGGCGGTGGGGTCTCTCAAAGGTTTCAGCTTAAAGGCGATGAAGCAGCCCTTTGTCACCAGGGTGACCGGAGGGGGTGTCTTTGCCTGCAGTGCGGAGAGATGCAAGTCGTGTGGCCCCGGCAGACGAAAAGGTGACGGCGTGCATGACAAGGCATCCATAAATGCCATCAGGCCCATCATCTGCCGCCTTTAAGCAAACCTCCTTTTCATATATATGAGACGTTTTTTTTTATTATTATTAATTTAGTATCAAAGAAATCCTCACT